CCCCCCCCCCAACCTCTTTAAGACAATGATGTATTCTGTATCTCCAACATAAGCCCTAATTCCTGATAGTCAAGTAATAATTGGCACTTCAATCTGAACCTTATTGCAAAATACAGAACATGTCAGTTATGGCTGTGTTCTCCCTGCAGCTGAAGAAGTAAGTCAGAAGTTTGTGAATTTTAGGTATGAGGTATTTATCTTTACCTTCCCTAAAAGAAAGTTCTGCCAGTGAGCTGACACAGACTGACTGCTGGCTATCAAGGATGCATGTCTTGGAAGCAGCGTGATCTGATGATGGAGATTTGCAAATTCCTACAAATCTCCATCATTCTCTTCCCTTACATCAATGCCATTGGACAGAAAGGCTTCCTTTTCTGGTGATGCTGACTTGTGGTTAAGCCCTAAGCCCATCATCTCTGTGTCCGGAGTCGAATGAGCTGCAGCTGACAGGGTGCTGTGACGGATACCATAGCTGAAGTAGATCGCGAAACCTGGAAAGGCAAAAAGAACCGGTGTTATGGAATCCTAGCTTTTCAATGCAAATACACCTGCTGAACTTTTCAGTCTAAAAACATGTACCTTTTTAATAACATCGACATTTTCGCAACCAACTGACAAAGTATGTTTACTCGTGTTTTGTAAATGTTTCAGATCGGTCTGCGAACACATTGCAATGTCAAGTCAAAGCAGCTAGCCCATTTCAAGCAGCTAAAGCAAGTAAAATAGTCAGCTGGGTGTGTGAGACTTTTCAGCGTCATCCTAGGTAAGTGTAGCGAGCACAATTCTTGCAGTTAAAAAAAGAACGATGGAGTGTAACTACCTATGGCCATCCAGATTGAGAATTTAACCCAAGTGCGTTCTTCAAGCTGCATCATCAGGTAGATATTGACAAACATGCTGATCACTGGAATGAAGGGCAGCATGGGCACCTGGGAGACAAATACCACAAAAGGAGAAAGCGTAACAGTATCCATTAAAACTTAGCGAGCGTGAACTCTCAGGGGGCAGAGGTAGTGCTGAAAGGGCTTAAATCAAACCTTGAAGGAGAGTTTAGTGTGGTTCTGGGGCTGTCTCCAGATGATGAAGACCACGAAAAGACACATCATGAAGATGACGCTGAGAGCTACCAAGTTCCACGAAGCAAGATCTCCATAAGATGCCAGAACACTGAATGCCAGCATCAGCATTCCTTTAAAATGAAAGAAATGTTATTATCTTATGTGTAATACTTCACAAGTGCAATGTGATTTTTAACAGTGAAGATACTGGAAACAAATCCATCACCTACATTCAAGGCGAGCACACTTGTTGGGTTGTTTACCAAAGATCTAACGCCTTCATTTTATTGAGTAAGCAAATAAATGTTATTTCTACAGCACATTTAAAACTAAAGTGCTTTACAAGGTCTTTATACTTGATTTTCTTACATTATTTGTATGATTTTATTGCCATTTTAAGGCAGTCCTGGTTTAATAACATACCGAGGAGAAAGACACAGACGTTGACAGTGAAGCCTGACAGTTTGGATGGTGTGGGGTTGTCTGGGAACAGCAAGGTTTTGAAGCTGAGCCTCTCTTCCATACCGGGCAGGATGTTGCCCTCATTCAACTCCATCTCCTCGTGGCTACTGACAATCTGGTAACCCATGCTGGGCCGGTACCTGAAACAACAAGAACAAACACCCATAATGAAGTGTTCAGACATAGCAGTTGTACTCTGTGTTCCTGCCACTTAAAATAGTTGCTAGCACCGGTGACAAAGCTGGTAATGCACACTGCAACATTAGCACACAATGAACCTGCTTATAAGCAATGTCAATGCTGCGTATGTTTGAAATAGCTTCCAATAGTTTTGTTGGCTAGCATAAACAACTATAAACATGTTCAGACCGTGTCCAAGCTGATATATTCTCACCAACCTGAGCACCAGGATACAGGCAGCCACTAATGTGTAGGCTAGCAGCGTCCCTATCGACATCAGGTCCACCAGGTCCTTCAGCTCGAACATTAACACCATGACAACTTCACAGTACAAGGAGACAAAAAATAAAAATTTAAAGTGAGAATGCTTGTTTGATCCCATCAATTATTTTCCATACTTGTCTTAGAAGAATAAATTAAGATGTGTCTAACATTCAGCATGCTTATACAGTTACTGTGAGCATAGAAGTATGCTGATCATAAGCTCAAATGATGCCATTGAGTACAGCCTCATAAAGATGCTAGCTTGAATGTACATAATCTTTTCACAATAGTGATTCCCAAAGTGTGGGTCATGACCCTCTGGTGTTCCAATGGTTTACCACACACACAAGAAATCTTTGCTACAAAAAAATGTATAATATATAATTATATGAGTTCAAAATTTACTTGAAATTTCACAACTACAATCTTCTTAGGGTGCTGTATTAGGATATAGGGTAAAAATAGCATTATGGAGCGAAACCAGCAACCACCTGGCGGAAAAGTCATTCCATTTCATTTATATGACACTCTTATTTTTCCGCTCTATTTTTTAAATGGGGCAAAATCTCATATCACGTCACTGGTGGGGAAAGATAAAAAATGAAGCAGTGGCTAAGAAAGGAAAGAAGTTAATAGTAAATCAATCTCAACAAAACAAATCAAGAAAAGATTAAAAACCTGTTGATTAAAGTTTTGATTAAAGGTTTGCATGTTTTCAGTTTTAAAAAGGGCCCCAGTTGGGAATGGATAAAGTATAGGCTAGAGGTGGCAAAAATTCCCATAGGTTGGAAAATCAGATATCGATAAAAGAGCTGCCTCTATTTAAAAAAAAAGTTATAAAAAGTTTTGAAACTTAATCTTTCAAAAACCAAAAAGTCTCTGCTTTGTTCTTTTTCTCTTCAATTCAAACCTGACCTTCTATCACTGCCTCGCTCAAGTCCCTCTACTCAAATACAGGAATTTGCGTTTTTATTTAACGCCCCCCTTTATCTTACCAGCTATAGCCCCGGCAGCAACAGTAGATGTTACGGGAGATTTTCTCTCGCTGATGTTGGCCAAGAAGGAGAAGAGCAGGCCATCCTGCGCCATGGCAAGGATGATACGAGGTAGGGGGAACATGGAACCCAACAGACTGGGGTAAAGGTGGGGGGAGGGCATCATATTGTGATGGCAGCGGTTTGGTGTAACGTGAGGGACAAGGGGGAAAGAAGAATTAGGAAAGGTCAGCGAGTACCAAGGGAAGATTCAGAGAAAGTAGACGTATGTGGGTGGAAAGATCTGGGGGTTAAAGAACATGCTGCAGCGTGCCAGACTGGCAACACTGTTGAAGAACAACATGCTGGGACAAGGATACTCTGATGTCAGCATGTAAAATTTGGCCCCCAGTATGACTGCATGTTTTGCACATGCTGTTACTGTCAGTTTTAGTCCACGTACCATGCGGTTTAGTTTGGATTAGTGCTGGTGCACATCTCCTTCTCAAGATGCAAGTTAGAAAATATGTCTCAAGTTTCCCAACAGAAAAAACAATGGAAGACTTATAGTATAGACACAATAACCTTGACTCCCTCAGCCAACTAAACAGAGACCTGGCTATGTAAAACACTTAATAATTAGTTTTTAATGCTAACGCATGTTAGTATCTCACCTGCCAGAGAGGAAGTGACAAAAGTTGCATTTAGTGGGGTTTTGGTGCAGGAGTTGACCCTGGCCAAGGACTTTGATAACAGCCCATCATCAGCCATAGCCATGATCACACGAGGAACAGGGTACAGACAACCCAGCAAGCTAACATGGGGGGAAGGGCGTACCAAAATATAAAGTATCCACAGGAGCAACCATGTGAAACATGCATAAGCAAAGACAACAGCACACATATGCAAGGAGCATTACATTCAACATAGATACAGCAGATTAAGACAAAAGAAAAAAAACACAGAACACAGGATACTTAAATATGTTGTGCATACATTTTAAGTTAGGAACACATGTGCAACACTTTGTAATGTAACTTTGTAATATGTAAATAACAATTTAATGCAATGTTTTGCAGATCTTATGCACCCATATTTTATTCAAAATAAAACGTGAAAAAAATCAATGTTTAAACTGAGAAAATGTACCATTAAAACAAAGATACTAGCTCATTTTTACATTTAATATTAGCTGAATTTAATATGTCTTAGTATAGATGGGACAGGGCCATGCTGTTTGCCACTGTGTGGCATCCTCTCTTCTTTTAACAACAGTCTCGAAACATTCGAGAACTGAGGAGATCAGCTGCTGAACCTTTGAAAGAGGAATGTTATCTCACTCTTATCTGATTTGAGCTGTTCAACAGCCCTGGGTCTTGTTTATCGTATTTTTCACTACACGTTTATTTTCAATTCATTTGATTTTTATAGCACCAATTCATAAAAACAGCGCCTCAAGACTCTTTATACTGAAAGATATGGACCTTACAATAATACCAAGTGCTTGCTCAAATACCTTTCAGCAAGCACTTGGTGACAGTGGGAAGGAAAAGCTCCCTTTTAACAGTAAGAAACCCTCTGGCAGAACCAGGCTCAGGGAGCGACAGCCATCCGCCACGACCTTTTTGTGATGATAGGAGAAAAAATATTTCATGTAAATCTTTTCAGCTGGTGAAAGGTCTGGACTCCAAGTAGGCCCTTTGAGCACCCTCTGCTACTATGAAACCATGCAGTTCTAAGTGTTTCAAGAAGTGGTTTAACACAGTCTTGCTGAGATATGCAGCATATGTCACTATAAAACCCCAATGTACTAATGCACTAATGCATCCCCTTAAAATCAGAGATGCATACTTTTGGACACAGCGATGACAACATGCATAGTCTCTCTCCTCACTAGTCCAGAGGACACGGAGTCCAAGTTTACCTAAGGGAATTTCAAATTGCATTTCACTGGACCACAGCATGTTCATAAATAGTTTCTTCTCTGCATGATAGAGCTTTAACCTTTGTGAATCATGCCTGGTTTTAATGCGGTGTTGCCCGAGGGGCCGAAGCACATGAGCTTCCAATATTGATTTCTGGCTATTGCCTTTAGTGCAGCAATTAACCATTTAAGATAATATCAAAATGTTCTTTTTCAGCTGTTTGTTGCACCCATGCCCAGTCTGGTGCCATCAAATTCAAAATTATCATTGTATCGTAATTTTTATCATGAAATAGTAAAATACTCAGTTTAAACATTTGATGTGTTTTCTATGTTCTATCATGAATAAAATATTGGTTGATTGTTGCTATTATTAATTGCAAAAATTAAAGTGATTAGAAACTAATTGTTAGTAAAAAAAAAAGTCACCTGCCTTAGCCTTTCTGAGTCCCTGTTACATAATCGCCTTCACACACTGATGGTGCAGCTATATTCTCAGCAGCATGTTTTATTTTTAGTTAAGGCATCAAATTCTTTCCGAAGTTAAATATACACTCTCGCTCAGAAACACAAACATAAATATATGTGTGTGTGTGTAGTTATCTGAGACAGAACCGTGTACACAACTGCGCATTTAAAATGAATGATAGTCTTTGGTTACGCTCCAGAAAGCAGATGTAGTGAAGATTCTGAGTTTGCTAATCCTGAAATAGGGGAAATTCTGGATCTTCTGTTCCAAAAAACAGGAGCTTAAACTCTGAGTTAGTTACTGACTCCTGCCCTCCTGCTGCAGCTGTAGCAGCTGAGTGACAGTGTTTCATTTCCCCATTCAAAACATCTATATTTTGATAGGATTCCAGTTTGATTTTTTTTAAAGGAAAATTGCAGTTGGCTAATGATGACTGAGTGGACAATGCTGAATAAATGTCATAGTCCACAAGGAACAAATTTATATTCCTCAGCCTAATAGAATATCTACCGGTATTCACAGTTGCTTATCTTAGTGGTAATCAGTTCAAAGTTTACTCAGAACAAGATCTAGTACATGTGCATTGTGCTTCTAAGTTCAAATCTCTTACCTTGTAGACAGAGCGCAAAGAGAGCCTACAGCTACGGCATATTTCGCGCCCCCCCAGCCCACATAATTAAAAGCTGTAGGCAGAGGGCTGTTGCTGTCCAGCAGGTAGTATGGCATCATGAGGGTGAGAGCACCAGAAACGCTGAAGTAGATCACAAAGCAGATGAGCAATGAGGATACGATACCAAAAGGAATGGCTCGCTGGGGGTTCTTCACCTCTTCACCTAGGACATATATAATATATAGACACAGTTAAGAGCCAAGATATGCAAATCTGCTTCTGTATGACTTCAACGGGTGCAGAAATATCTTCAGGTAATGTGCCATTTTTTGCTTATATTTATATTTGAAAAACATCGTCAGAAGACAGAAATTCTTACTTTCAGCGTTTGAACATGAGGCAGAAAAGTGAATATGTGAAAATTCAGTGGAACGAAAACACAGAACACAGTACAAACTCTAGTGTTGGATGGATGATGGATGGATATTCAGATTTTGGAGGAGTTTTATGCTTTCATCTGAGAATTGTCCATTTGAATGCAGGGTGCAGGCACTGTATTCAGAAAGGTAACATAATTTACAGAAGTGCTGCAGTTGCATCGAGAAGTGCATGCAAAGTTTTGTGGAAATTAACTGAATGCTAAGTGGTTGACTGAACCTGTAAATAGCAGTGAAATTACTTTACCTTCTTAGTTATTTCCTAAATCGTCCCATCGTCTGCTATACAGCTATGTCTTTGTTACTAGCCACTCCCAATTCATTGCAAGGTTTGAAGATATTAGCTTATTTTTTGGGGGGAGCCACCATGCTGAGGGGCCTAACTGCTCAGCTGCAGGTGATTATGTAGGAAGGCCTTGCTGTGTAATAAAACCACATTACGGTGATGGAGCGAGTGCATAAGACGCACAGTTACGTGTCAAAGCAGGCCCAAAGTACTGTAAAATAAAAGAGCTCTGAAACGTGACGGAGACAACTGATGTGTGGATGATATGTGTGTGTGTGTGTCAAGGGGAAATGGAGTATGGCTTCATGCCACCTTAACTCTTACTGCCATACACACACACACATGCAAAAAGATCATTGTGAGTTTGTGTTATGTCTGACAATCGTAGTTTAAGGCTAACTGGTCAGCTTGCCAGCCAGTTAAAATTCAGGAAACCTATGGGTGGGAAAAACCTTGTAACATGTATAAAGAAACAAGGCTGTTCACAAACTCTGCAAAACTCAGGGAAAAACCTCTGGAATGCCCTCTTCCAAAACCCTGTTTGTTCCCCCCTAACCTGAGTAGCAGTCTTTTGGCCGTCAGCCAATAGCAGAAATGAGTCAAACGCAGTAAAGTGCATCTTTAATTTCTCTCTTGCCCCCCTGTTATGTAATACTTCTGGATGTTTAGGAAAGCTCGGGGCTGAAACGGTTCCAAAAAGATTGAGTTACATTCCCCCCTCTCTCCCTGAAAATGGAAACACACCCACGAGGCCTTCAAAGGGAGATGTATGTGAAACTGCGAGACGTGAAGCAGAGGGAGTCAAAAACAGAAGGTCGACAGAGTTTTCAGGTCAGATCAGCACTAACCTGTGGTAGCAATGCAGTCAAATCCTACAAACCCATAGAAACAGGTAGCGGCTCCTGACAGGACACCGGTGAATCCAAATGGCATGAAGCCGCCGATTCCTAAACTCTCTGCGCTTGGCAGGACGTCTGTCACACTAAACCAGAGGAATATAAATAATATGAAATATAGTTCTAAAAGAATGTCATCCAGATAAAAACAAAATAGAGTAACAGAGACAGTTAAAGGGAAAGATTCAGCATTGAATATGTCCTTACTTGGTGCTGTTTGTTGTATAACTTGCATGTAGGATCTCTTCAGGGTCTAGCTGCCAGTTTTTAATATTGCCTTTGACGAATCCAGAGATCACCATGAACACCAAGACTAGGACATTGATACAAGTGAAGACCTTGTTCACCATTGCTGATTCTTTGACCCCAAATGCCAGCAGACCTTAGAATCGCAAAGGACAAAGAAATGGAAAATGAAAAATGTCTTGGGAAAATGTGTTAAGTGTAATATTAAATGCTTTCTATGTCTTCTTACTTGTAAGAATAATTATGATGAAAGCACCAAATATGTCAGGATACTCTGCCAGTGCTCCTGGTACATTCAGGGCCATGTACTGTCTGCAGAACTGCCCTATGGGGTTCCCTATCAACTCATCAAAGGTGGCGCTCCATGCACGAGCCACGCTGGAGGCACCTGAGACCAAGAAAAAAACATTCTTGAAGACAAATTTCTTCCTACACATGACCTTTTTTTGCACATGTCGAGGAGCGTGTCAGGTTACATTTCACTGTGTGTTATACTTGTATAACTATGCATGTGACAAATAAAGAACCTTGAACCTTGAACCTTGAACCTTAAACTAGACGAAACAGAAACAATAAAGCAGTGGTGCTTTATGCTTACCAATGACGTAGGAAAGAATGAGATTCCATCCAGTGATGAAGGCCCACAGCTCCCCTACAGTCACATAGGAGTACAGATAAGCCGAGCCTGTTTTGGGAACACGGGCTCCAAACTCAGCGTAGCAAAGCCCGGCTAACACTGAGGCTATAGCTGCTATCAGGAATGACAGCACAATAGCAGGACCTGTGGAAGGTGGTGGGAATCATATGATTAAAAACTTTCAGGTTTTTCCTCAATACACATGTTTTCACTATCAAAAGTAATGTTACTTGCCTGAATTCTCTCTTGCAACAGCACCAGCAAGCACATAAACACCAGCACCCAATGTACTGCCCACACCGAGGGCTACCAGGTCAAAGGTGTTGAGACATCGGCACAGACGGGAGTCCTCGGAGTTAGAGTTTACCACCTTCACCCTCATCAGCTGCTTCCTGAAAGTGGAAGCAGCGTGCAGAAGGCTCTTTATAGCCATGGATCACACTCTGGTCTCAGCAAAAGTCAGGGTTTAGGGGTTCAGAGGTCACAACCTAAAGATGAAAGACAGTAAGTTTAAAAAACACACTTAGTTTTTCATCTCCCCTGTTTCAACAAAGGACTTCGAATCATTTCTGACAATAGCTAAGGAAGCTCATTAAAGTGCGTTACTCATTGCAGAAAATAAACTAAAAGTATCTGCCAGGATTGTTACTGTTTAGTCCATGTTTGGATCATACAGCTAAGTCATTTGCACAAGATAAACACAAGTAACAGAGAGTAGCAGCCTGACAAGTATCCAGACACCTTGTCAGATTACAGTGACCTAAGGATATGAACACGAGAGGTCATGCGGACAGTGCAACAGTTTTGCCACAGCTCACGGAAACTTCCACCCAAGGACAAGCTGATGTGAGAACACTGTCGTCGCACTTACCTCTGAGAATAATCAGGCTCACATTCAATTTTCCAGCCTAGCACATCACACGTTAATTATGAATTACACTGTATAAAGATGTCTAATAAATGAGCTTGTATCCAAACCAAGCAAAATTACACACATATATCTAAAGCCGACTTAGACGACGCTGTAAAATATAGCATATGTAAATAGAAATATAATATCACATGCAACCAGCCACATTTTAGGGAATAAATGAAAATAACTGCTCAGGACAAAAACCACTGTACAGATATTTTCATGTCACTGAACTAAAAAACAAAACAAAGAAAAAACAAACAAACATAGAATCTTTGAAAAAAGGCAAGAAAATACAATAACTCATATTTACATTAAACAAATGGGGAAAATTTAGTAATGTGCTGGCACAATGAAATGATTCTATTCCTTGTTGCATTAAGCTGTCCACCATTATCAAACTGAAACTGCTACAGAAGTCACACCTGCAGCAGTGTAGAGGTCACTATAGTTTGCATGTTGTCAGTGATTATAAATGATGATACACGTTCAACGGTAAGCTCGATGGCCATTCATTCGATTTTCACAGGTGACTGCCTCTTCTATTTTCCACTATTAAGGGCCTAGATAATGAACATATGCCTTTTGATTAGATGCACACCAATTGGCCCTTTATTAGTTAAATGAGAAAATCAAATGTTAATATTTTCCTGGTAGATTCTGACATTTACAGACCAAACAGTTGATAGAGAATATAATCAAAAGCGAAGATAAGTGTTAGTTCCAGCCTTCAATTACAGAATTGATATATCTGATTCATATACTGCATGACATAAAAAACTAGCATTTTTTCAAAGTAAAATGTGACTTCAGGTTGCCATTTCTCCTTAATGCATGCCATGTATTAACCTTATATTATTTCACTCATTCAGCAAATGAAAGTGAATGGTTAACGTGTATAGACATGCAGAAAAGTAACAATGCGCAAGTAAAAGTTGAGAAATGATATGCTTTATTCATCTTAAGAACAACCATTGTACAAATAATCTATTAAATCTGGACTAAACCAGAAGCACTAATACTGCATACTGCTTTGATTATCACAGCATTACACATGCTGCATCTGTCTATGATCTCGGAAGCTCATAAATACAAATTTGTAATAAAAATCCAATTTAGTGTAAAGATTTTAAAAAATGTTCTGGTGCAGTCATAAAATCCTTGCAGAAAAAAAAAATAAACAAACCAATGAAAGTGACCTATATATATCACACAACCCCTGACTGACTTGAGTATACGGGTCAGTCTGGGGTCACAACTTTCTGTCGAAAAATCTACATTTTGTCAGATTTTGTTCAAATTGAATGAAATCTGATCATTCAAAACAAACTAAAATACGCCTTCTGAACCTTATGTCAAAGTAACCTGTTCGTTGTGAAGGCAGAAAAAGACAGAACAGAGTACTTACTCAAACACACCTACAGGTACACTTCAGCGCTCGACCTAACAACTCCTGATGAAATGATAAGCGACGACAGAAGGATTAAACTGTGCATTTGTTAACTTTTCTTTAAGCTGCTGTGAAGACTGTGGGGCTTTGGACAGTAGGCGATCTGAAATAGAATCTAGAAGAATCACATGGCTTGGCTATTCCAAGCAGTGGGCACACATGCACACATGTGCAGACTTAATTCCTGCAGACTTCGGATGACTTAATAAATGCATTTCTACCAGAAGAACTCTTGTACATAGACTAATATAACAGCAGCATTGTACTTGCATATTACATTTACAACAGTATGCAATATAAAGCATGGTCCCTTGTAAGACACATTAAAAAGTATTTGGCAGGGTACTTTGGATAATATGTTAAAGAAGTGGAAGGGAGGAACTGAACAGAAAAGGGGTGTAAGCCCTTTCAACCAATGAAGTTAGACCATAAATATGACACTTCTGGACATTTGGAAAATGGCTGGCTTGAAGAAGACTTAATAGTCATTCCATAAATAGCCTTAGTTGTTATTGTAGAGTCTTTACCTTACAATATAAAGTTCCTTGAGGTGACTGAGTTTGGAAAGAAACGCGTCTGGACTTCTTTACGTTTTTTGAAGCTGTTTCACTTCTCATCCGAGGAGCTTTTTCAGCTCTAAGAGCAATTGGTGGAGAGTCCCAGATTTTTAGCCCCTATTGGGAGTGTCCCTAAGAGGGTCCTGGACACTTAAAAATCTGTCAAATTTGATATCTCGGGTGTGGGGTTAAAATTACTTAACTGAAGCTTTAAAAGAGCTTAATGTGATTGGTAGGCCTGAAAATTGCCTTTAATGAAATAATACATAAATGAATACATAAAAAATAAAGTATTCAGGAACACCACAAACAAAATGGGCAAGTGGGGTGCGTTAACCTTAATAGACAGAGCATGAGAAAACAGTGAGCAAAAGTATCCAAGGCAGTAATCAAATATAAAAGCACAAACACTGAGCAGACATCTCTGTCGATCATTGAAAACAATCAAAACGGCCCCTGGGAATGCTAATTGAGCTTTCTCAATAGCAGATGAATGATTCTATGTCCAAAAACAGCTGGAAGAATACCAGAAGCGAAGAACTGTTTATAATTAAAAGAGTCAACTGGTATCTGTTTAACCCC